TAAACTTTCTTACATCCACTCCTTGTTAAGCTTTTTGCCAAAAGTTTTTAAATCTTTAAAACATTCTTTTTCTTTTTTAGTCCAGAAAGACTGTTGACTCATCAAGTGGAATTTTCTTATCCTGCCACTCAGAAAATCTCTCTTTTGTTATAATGCATCCAAAAATGTTTAAGAAAGTGAGGCTTGTGTGAACCTTGTTTCCATATAAAGCTATATCATGACTGTGAGCTTGATTGAATTCCCTCAACTCCCAGCCACTCAACTCATGAGTTGACTGCAAAACCCTCAGTTCCTGCAGTCTACTCACAAGGAGCAGCTGTCCAGAGTGCAAGTAGGCAATCTCATGATCTCTCCTTTATCCGGAAAGCCAGCGCCCACCAGAATTCACCATCTGGCTGCCAATCTCCACCACAATGCCATCCCCACTCCTTCAGGGATATCTATATAGATCCTCACTTGGAAGTCAAGAAAAATATTTATTGATGGTTATTGCAAGCATCAGTCTGAGCAAGAAGAAAAACAGAACTTTTTTTTAAATTAACAAATCCCACCTCATTCTTAGTACTTCTTCAAATTATCATTGTTCTTCCTTGAGACTTTGTTCCTTATACCTGCAGCATTAGAGGGTTTTTTGGGGGGGGGGGGGGTTGTTTGTTTTTCTTCGGTACCAGAGATGTTTGCAAGCTGTAGGCAAAAAAGTCAAGATGTTGGCCATGACAGCGTGATTGAACCACTGTCTGTTTTTTGTTATGCGCTGCATGTGCAATGCATATAAAAAAACAGAGGGAGTTTCAATTACACCACTGTGGCTACCATCTTGCCTTTTTTCACCATACTATGCAGATACCCATTTGGTAGCATTTACAAGGTAATGGTCAAATTGAGCCAATTAATAGAAAAAAGTTAATTAAATCAGCTGGGATATAAAAAAAGGGATTTAAAAATTGCAAAAATGATATTTCTATTGTTCCAAAGCTCCCTGAGTCAGAGATACAGAGAGAGAGGTAGAGAGATTAATATTTTGAATCTACCAGACTCTCTTAAGAAAGACTTCTGCTTATGGAACAAGATTTTCTGGTCTCTTCTTACATCTTAACAAGATCCCCCTCCACATCTGCTCTGGAAATTCACCCAACTCTCCAGAACACATTTTGAGGATGGGCAGAGAGTTTCGTCATGGAAGGGAAATTGATGAAAACGTCTAATTCCACACACGACAAATGTAAACTGGTGGAATAATTAGTTCTTCTCAAGAAATGTGGAAACCGTAGTCCTGTGAGAGACAAGGGAATTTCTAGCCCCCTGATTGCCCCCACAATGCTTAGGATTTGGGGAAAGAATCAATAGAAGTTAAAGTGGTATAAAACCAATAAATTTTATACTACAGCTACTGTAGGTTGACTGGTAAAATACTTCAGCACTAATGTGTCTCAGCATTTTGGCCATTCCCACCAGACCTAGACTTGTGGAAGCTCTCTTCTCATGGGATCTTCTCCATTGCCCATTTGCTACTCTCTCTCTGAGCCCAACTAGAATTAAGTAATACAGAGGTTGTTCCTCCATCTCACAGCTACTTTGGCTGCCTGCTCACTTGAAGAAAGCTGGTGGACAGCAGAACATGGAGGAGAAATAGCAAGCTCCCAGAATTGGCTATGGTCCTTGACTTGGACAGGAGAGCTTGGCAGAAACCTGAAGGTGCCAATCTCTGGTGCCACTTGACACACCAAATATTTGGACCACACGCATACTGTCTACCTTGCATGATATAAAATGTTGAGATACAAGAAGTCAATATGCTGAATTCCAAACCACAATCACAGCTGGGAAAGGGAACACATGACATCATATTCCTCCTTTAATTATCTGCCCAGGATAAAAATTTAATGTGCCTTAAAGGTTCCATCTTTATGTAATTGGTTCAGGAACTTTACACTTTCAAATTCTACTTTAGTTCTCATAAATATTCCTCTGAGGTAATTAATCTGAGAGAGAGTGATTTATCCCCAGGCCATGCTGGAAGCTTTGGGGTAGACCAGTTATCTGAAAGTACATCTGCAATTTCTGAATTAAATATTCAGTCCAATATGAAATGGAAATATAACTTCTGAAATTGTCTGTGTGGTTTTAATTGCAGTTAAATAACTGTTAAATGGTTACATAAACACCTTAATTTTTTTTTTTAAATGACGCATTTCAAAAATGATTCAGAGTCCATTTGAATTAATGGACTCTGAATTATGTGAAACATATGTTACATCCTCATTACATCAATTTTGGTGACCAAAGCCAGGCTTCTGCAATGGAACGTTTAAGGATAATATTTTGACTAATTAGATTAGGGAAGTTTAACAAAGGGATTGGTAAACTGGTGCCCTTGATATTTTGGACTGCAACTTCCATCAGGTCCAGCCAGCATGACCAATTACAAGAGATTGTGGGAGTTGTAGTCCAAAATACATGTAGAAAGAAAGCCAATCTGCAGCATTCCCTCCCTCTCAGCTAATATGTACTGGGTAGGCAGATTCAGATAATGGCAACCTGAGCCATAAAAATAACCAGCACCTCAAATTGGATCCAGAAGCCTACCGGCAGCTCAACATAAGGATTATTCTGCCTTCCACAGATAGACAGTTGGTTCCTGCAGCAGCTACAGTTTTCAGATGACTTTCAAGGACAATCCCATGTAACCTGAATTGCAGAAGTCTAACTAGAGGGGATGACAAAGGCATGAGTCACTGTTGTCAACACCTCCTGGTCCAGGAAAGGCCAAAGCTAGCCAAAGGCTCTCTTGGCCATAGACTTTAGCAGGAGTGATGGAGTCCAGAAGAACCCCCAATTGTACATCTGCTCCTTCAAGGGAAGTACAACTTTGTCAAGAGCTATGGATGGAAAGTCCTGGTACATGAAGGCTTCTGTACATAGGACCTCTGTCTTGCCATGATTCAATCTCACTCTGTTCCAGAACTATAATTTTGCTAAACTTGGGTGCATTGGGCCCAGCAGTTCCTTCTATAATTTAAATGTACTCCTATGCTGAATATGGGTCTATCAATTCTTTGATGGTGCAGCAGTTTGTAAGCATGGTGTATTGTAAATATTTTGTCAGCTTTTTCAGTGCAGCAAGCAAGTTTTACTCATTCCTTCCCCCCAGTGATAAAAGTGTCACTGTAGCCACATGCAAGAAATTCCACTACTACTAGGATCAGAGCTTGACACTGAATTTGCCATTACAGTTCTCACCAATGGAATTTTTTGATAAGGCCTTCAAGTCAGTTTTTGACTCCTGGAGACTGCCTGGACCAGTCCCTGCAGTCTTCTTGGCAAGGTTTTTTTGGAAGTGGTTTGCCATTGCCTCCTTCCTAGGGCTGAGAGAGAGCAATTAGCCTGAGGTCACCAAGCTGGCTCCATGCTTAATGCGGGACTAGAACTCACAGTCCCCTGGTTTCTAGCTTGGTGCCTTAACCACTACACCAAACTGGCAACCTACCAGTTGTAAAGCAGTAAGAAGGTAGTACAAAGCAGATGGCAGATGGCGATGCTTTAGGGATAATAGGCCAGTTCCACGCTAACGGATCCCTCCACCATATGCCTTTTCAAACCCCCTTATTTTTGATCTCACTCTCCCCAAGAGGCCCTAGGCACTCCATTTCTCTTCCATTCCTTAAGGACTAATCCTGGTTCAATCTTCCTGACTGCCTAAGTGGGAGGACAGGAGGCAGAATCTACTTCTTCAGGAGCAACTACTGTCATCTCTAACTCTCTCCTTTGTTTTTAATCTCTTGGTAAGTGGGTGGCAAGGACTAGGTCAGATGGGCCTGGTCCTTTGCATAAGCCTGAGAAGAGAATATGGGCAAGGGGATAGAGGAGTGATTGCTGCCTGCACAAGGACATTATTTTCAGCCATCTCCATGAGACCCATTTTTCTGCTGGATGGGCAAGCATAGAATTGCATAGAAGCTGACTGCCGTGGACAAACGTGTTACTTCTAGGAGAGAACAATGAAGAAAAAACTAGCATTAACGATCTTTCCCATGTTCATGTCTTGCTGGTTTCTGTGGTACAGTCTAAAATCAATATTTTGATAAGAGATCATTCCCTTCTTCAGTGCTGCTTTCATGATCAAGAAGGAATCCATTTTGGTGTATGATCACACATAGAGACGCACCTATACCTACATACATGAGATGTTATGTTCATGTGCATTTCACACCTTTACAAAACTGGAGCAAACCATAACCTCGAAATGCCTGACAGAGCCAATATAAATATACTTGCACGCCTTACGGCCAACCCACAAGCCTGTTCCCTCCTCCTGAGCCCTTCCCTCTCCTTGCGACTAGGCTCTGTCCGAAGCGAGAGTAGCCTGACGCAACCACCGGCCGCTATTTCCCTCGAAAGCTCCTACGCAGGTTGCATCATCTGGTTTTAAGACAGTGGACAGGGAAGAAACCAATCAGCGGGCGCGTTCTGCTCATGTGTGACAGTCCACTTTGACCAATCCGCTCTTCGTATGCCGTTCTGCAGGCAGGACTATTTGCTTCTCCCTGATTCTGAAAGCGCTGATTGGTGAAGAGACGGCGGGAACCGAGAGGATGCAGTGACAACTGGGCGGGGGTTTACCGGCAAGCTGATATTTAAACGCTGGAGAAGGCGGAGTAGCGCAGTTCCGTTTCTGCTTTGTGTTGGGGTGACCGGCGAGCTTCACCGTGTAAAATCCCGGACCAACCCGAGCCTGTCCTTCTGTCCAGTCCGCCCCCGGAGTCATCCACCAGCGTATCTCCTCCTGCGGAGTCATGAAGCGGGATCCGCCTTCTCAGCATCTTTCCAGAGGAACGGAGCATCCGTCCAGTCTTCAGAAGGACGAAGAGGAGGAAGAGGACCCTGCTGGTGCAGAAGGGTCGCCAAAGTCACCACTTTGGGTCTTCGGTTACGGTTCGCTGGTTTGGAGACCTGATTTTGAATTCACTTCCCGCAAAGTGGGCTATATCCGGGGCTATAGCCGCCGCTTCTGGCAAGGAGACACCTTCCACCGGGGTAACGAAAAGATGGTAAGGGCTACCGTTCCCACGTGTGACTAAGTGGGCGGAAAAGGACAGTGGCTGGTCCCGAGTTTAAAAAAAAAAGGGACGATGTACTTCTCTCCTGAGATGAGAGGATGGCCATATAGTGGAAGGGATGGCTGGGTGGGCTGTAGGATTGGGAATAAAAGAGGCAAACCAAGAATTAGGTGTTTTAGGGATTTAGGGGGAAATTGTAGGTTCAACTCTGATTCCCAGATGTGGAGTCTATTGATTTCCCTTGGCTTGACATTCTCATGTAGAATTTGAAAGTGATGAGTACCTCCCACATTAGCTTTTAATAGGGAACTTCTGGATTGTACCAATGGTGCTTCCTTGAGATAGTAGGACTTGACTTGTGCTTCTGATGTTGAACTGCAATACAGTACTGTATATTAAAACTGCCTCTTCCTCTCCCTTCCTTTAGCCTGGAAGAGTGGTCACCCTTCAGGAAGATTATAATGTAAGTATTTCATGTCTGCATTCTTAACCAGTTAGTATGCTTATCTATACCATAAAGCTTAATCAGAGTTCTTTTTGGTGGGGGTGGGGAAGTTAAACCCAAGTAATTTGAACTACCCACCTTATTTTACTGTAGGGGAAAGATGGGGTGGATTATATTAGTGCAACTAGAGATTATATAATCCTGTTACTTGACCTGCTGTAATTATCCAATTATCATTTGGATGAGTGAATATTTGGTCAGTAGAGTACCACTTATCTAAGAATCCAGCCAATTTTTGTGAATATAACTTAAAGTGATGAAAGAAAACAGAGGTCCTGACAATGCTGGAGATGATAGGGTAACTTTGCTGAAAAGAATTTAGCACATGGCTAAGGTACTGTAGTCATCCAGGGGCTTCCTCAAAAGCTAATTGTATTAATTGCTCTGTGGAGAACTCATTGGAAAGGAATGAGTAGCTGTTTTAGAACTGTGTGTTTTCCATCACAAACCTGACTTTTAGCCTGACCTGATATTCTTTTCACATTGAGATGAAATGTGGCAGATAACTTTTGCAGTTTTGCTTATCTATATAGTAATTCTATTTAATGAAGCAGACATTTGTAAGTAACTTGTAATTTGATTTCTGATTGCAGGGGTGCACGTGGGGTGTTGGCTACGAACTTCATGGGGATCAAATTGCTGCTGTCCTTAAGTATTTGAACATACGGGAAGCAGTGCTCGGTGGCTATGACACCAAGCTAGTGAAGTTCCATCCCCAGGAGCAAGCAGCAGATGAATCTGTCCTAGCCCTTGTTTACATTGCAACACCCCAGAATCCCTCCTATCTGGGCCCAGCATCTGAAGAGGATATTGCAGCTCAAATAATAGTCTCCAGTGGCCGCGCTGGCCACAACATTGAGTACCTTCTGCGACTGGCAGACTTCATGCGCTACTGTTGCCCTCAAGTAGAGGATGAACATTTGTTCTCAATTGAGGAAGCCCTGATCTCTATCCTTCCCTGCGTATATCATGCTGAGGAGCTCTTGGTAGAATAATGAATTTGGCAGTACTCACCAAAAGGATTGGCTGAAACACTTTTTAACCAAGGATAGGACTGAGTATGTGATCTAATACAATTGAAGTCAGGTTTAAAAACCTGTAGATGTAGAAATTGGGAGAGAAAAGTAGTGGAGCAACGGTAATATAACTACAGTTTAAATAGCATTGGCGTCCTGCCAATTTATTGCCTTGAGTAGAGATTGGAGAGACCCATTGCCATTCCACCAGCTACTGGGGACACAAAGCTGGTTGAAAAATACTTCCTAGTCTCATGTGCACACTCTAGAGGTTAAGTCCTACTGAATTCCCTAAGGCTTACTTTTGAGTTCATGCATATGGGTCTGCTGCTTTTTGCACTTTTAGCCAAATTAACAGTGTTCTTTGAATTATTGAAGGGAAAAAGGGATGAAGATGCAATGTATTTTCCTTTGCATGTTTCTGAAGCCCTCTCCATCCAAAGCAGGGCCATGACTGTAATGCTATGAGCTTTGCTCTACCTCACAAGCTGGTGATGCTGCAGGTGTGAAGTTGTGAAGGTTCTTGTATCAAAGGAATCGGTAATTTCCTCCAGCCTCAGTCACCGTATCCTCACCTTTGCTCATACGCTGGGCTTTTAGTGGAATATGAACTTGATTTTATGCTTTGGTGGGGCCAAACTTCCTTAGAGAGTCAGTGTACTACTTTTTTTTATAAGTTGGAAATGTATTTATTATAATGAACGTATATATTTCAGGGAGAGAAGCATCCAAATGTCCTGCAGGGCAGGTTGCCAGCTTGAAAGTTGGCAGGGGAAATTGGGTCTTCTGGTTTTGTAATCCCCCCCCCCCCCGGTCTTAGAGGGGAGCTTCTGACCATGGCAGCTGCTACAGGGTTACTTATCTGAGACAGCTTTCTGCAAACAACAGTTGTATCATCTACCACACAATATGGATGCTTTTACACTACAGTATATATTTTGTGTCTGCTTCTGTAACTGCAGGGTATATGTCTCTTGGCATACCATACTCCAGTTCTGCCTGCATTTTAAATAATGAAGCAGGCATTTACTCAACATCTGTTTCTCCAAAAATCACAACAAATTAAAGTTTCTGAGAATATTAAGTGTGTTCCTGGAAGAAAGATCTGTACTGAATATTGGAGTCTCAGAGACATGATTCAATAATGCAGATAATTGTTTTCTGATATAGCCTTTGGGAGAGACTTGATCCTGAAACTATTTTATTAACTGATCTTAGAACAGAATTACTTGACAACTAGCTGTTAAAAAGAGAACTATCTTTTACCTAGAAATAAATGACTCTGAAATTACACTGTTTGAACAGAATTTCTTTCCCTTGGTTTTGCATTTAAACAGTATTAAAACTATTTGTCATGGGATTTCATGTCAATGTACGGAAAGGAAATCCAATTAGTTTAACTACAGCTGTTGCAATACCTTCATAGTGAATAACTGTCAATACTTATGAAACTGCTTCCAAAGCTTTACATCAGGAGTATCCAAGGCATAGCTTTCCAGTCCCTTAGATGCAACTTCTGCAGCGTATCCATAAGTTCTCCCTATGCTGTCATTTTTGTATGAAAAGTGAAGGAAATATAGTTTTAGTTAACAGGATGTAAGTGAACCACCCTGAATGGTTCTGGTTTTGAAAAGCAGCACGGTCAAGCTTGCTCCTGGTTCCACCTTCACTAATGTGCCTATTACAGCTATGCAATGCTTTGGAGATTATTCAAAAAAGGTGGTTTGGAGGGTGTAAGCCTAAGTAGCCCCTTTTTGTAACTTTAAAGCAGTTGCATCTTTTCCCAGGGTTGTGCAGCTCTTGTTGCAATAGTCTGCACTGCAGTAACCTAAACACCTCTTGTTTATGCCAACTTTGTGCTCTCAAGATGTTTTAGACCACATCTGAAATTTCCAGACAGGGGCCTGGAAGACTGGTCAATGCTAGTGATGAAAACAGACTGCCTGTACATGTGCTGTGGCCTTTTAGTAAAGCAACCACTTTGCTGCTATACAATACTAACTTCTGCTATCTCATTCAATGTTGGAGCTGAAGCCAGTCCTCAGGAGCCCTTGGCTGTGCTGCTGCTGGCCAATCACCTGTCCTTTCCGAATGTACAAGCAGTAGAGACACAGCTGCCTCCTCCACGTGGCTGAAATACCATTTGGACTTCCAGCTACCATGATATTCTTAATGTTAACTGGCAGCCATGCTGGCTAGGAAGGATGGCAGTTGGGGTTGAACACTGGAGGGCTGCACACGTCTAACCTCAGTTGAAGCTTTCCAGAAGGAAAGGGCACCTGAGGCATCATACCCAGGGGAGCTGGCACTGGCAGGAAGAGGCATGGAGTCCTGTAAACAAAATGGAACCATCAGTGACAACTTTTTTTATTCAATAAAAAGGACCCCTCCCTCTTTCAGAGCATGAATAAAAGGCTGGGTTTCTTTGTAGTATCTTCGACAGCATTTTGAATTTTGGAGGCAGGGAGAGGAGCTGCTTTTTCCAGAGCATTTTGCAGGTTTAGAGTGAGAGCCTAGAGAAGCCATGCTCTGAGACCCACATCACAGTAACTCAGGTCTGGCTCACATTGGCCCCTAAGTGTCCTATGACAGATCAGCTTCAACCTGGCTGGCATACATTAAAAGAAGGGGGGGGGCGGGGGAATCACTGGTGTGTGATCTCACATTTCCCCTTAAAATATTTAAAAACCACCACCACACCCTATGTTTGTGTCAATTACAATTCAATGGAATGATCACATCACAAATGTTAGGTTGTGTTCTGTGAGCCTCTGCCCAAAGAAACTTATGTGACTTCCTGATAGATTATTTGGCTTAGTTTTCATACCAAATATCTCAGATGTAACCATAGTTGCATTCTCTACTCTCTGATGAAGGATTCCAACAATTGCTTCTGGAATCAGTCATTTCAGGATAGAGGTCAAGTTCAATCACTTAATTTTATCCTGGCAAGGATGCCAAGAAAGGCTTGCAGGAGGGAGACAATTTCCAAGAAACAAGGATGGGGGAGGGAAGCGCCTGCTGTGCATTTTCCTGCTTGTGTGAAAAGTGATACATCTGTTTTCCCAAACTCTAAGTGGCAGGCCCACAACGAGCAGTTGAAATCACTGTAGGACAAAGTGCCCATAAAATCCTTACAATAATTATTTTATAGTGTATAGACAGAAAAAGTGTTTACAAAAGAGTTAAAAGCATGCAGTCCACAAGCTTCAGCATTGACATAAACAGCTGATCAGCCTATTAAAGAATATTTATCATGAAGATGCTGGAGCAGAAAATACCTGCCAAACTGGGGAAGATAGGTAGTAGGTAGGTAGATAGATCTAAAAAACAGAAATGTGCTGGGGGTTCTGTTGTCTCTGATGCTGAGTGCTTTTTGCCAGTAAGTGCTTAAGTACATTTCTGAGCCTTAGGCTGCAATTCTACACCTACTTCTCACTTAGTCTAAATGCATTAAGCCTGACTTATCCAAATGGGATTTATTCCTGAACAAACCTACCTAGGATTATGTTGTTAGGTTGGCAACACAACCTTGCATGTGAGAGGAGAAGGTGACAGGTACAGCTATTTCAAGGAAACTATCTGTGGTCACAAAATATTTACATTCAGAATGGCCATAGCTTAGTTGCAGGACAGATGCCACACAGGTAGAGTATCTCAGATTCAATCTGCAGCATCTCCTTTTAGGGCTAGAAAAGATATCACTTAAACCCTGAAAAGCTACTGCTAGTCAGAAACTGGCTTCACCCTTTGCACTAAGCTGAATAGCACTATCCTATTTCCTTCTGAGACAGATTGGACTGAAAGCAGCAAAGCCATTGCAGGCAATGAGGTAAACGGTCAACAACATGCCTGAGAGGATATCCTCACTAGTCATGTATATGCCAGCTTCACACAACTTAGTTAACTGGGTGGATGCTGGACCAGTGTTAACCCAAAACTGCACCAGGATAATTGTGAATCAAACTTCCTTCTTCCCTTCAGCTGTGTTGTACACGTGAAAAAAGAACACAACACACACCAAGCTCTGCCCAATAACTAGTCTTTTTAAAATGTGTATACAGTGGGGCAAAAAAGTATTTAGTCAGCCACCAATTGTGCAAGTTCTCCCACTTAAAAAGATGAGAGAAGCCTGTCATTTTCATGATAGGTATACCTCAACTATGAGAGACAAAATGGGGGAAAAAATCCAGAAAATCACATTGTCTGATTTTAAAGAATTTATCTGCAAATCATGGTGGAAAATAAGTATTTGG